AATATAAAGTAAATTATACTAATATGTTAAATTTAAAAATTGTTCCATATGAAAAACAAAAAAATATATAAAACATAAAATCAGAAAATATATATAATAGTATATAAATGATCATTAGGAGATACATAAAGTACGACAAATCCAAAAAAGGAAAACGTAAAACAAAAAAATAATAAATTCTGACAATATATAAAGAGATAATGTAAACAACTAAAAATACAACAATCCGCCCGAAACCCACAAATCATGTTCAAATTTCATGCCAACATATAAAAAGGCCCAAAATATTAACATCTAGATCTATATTTGGTAAAAACCCTAATAGCACACGTTTCTCAATGATTCTCAATCGCACTTCCACTTTACGCTCACACTTCGACTTATACTATACACACTTAATTTCTCAACAACTAATGAAGCTAAAACAAAATAGTTTTTCTATACAAACACAATGTAAGTTTTAAGAAAGTAAAATATGGTAAAGTGAAAAAAATAAGTAGAAAATAAAATACGAACCAATTACTCATAAACAACATAATAAACTCCCGCACGTAGCGCGGGCAACCGACTAGTTAAAATAATTGAATAGAAAAAAAATCAAATTAAAAAAAATTATAGTTTTTAATGTATTTATTGCTTTAGCTTAAATTAGATTTCTGTTATTTATTGTTATATATCACTTATCAGTTTCTTAGGAAAATAAAGTTTTGTTTCAACAAAAAAAAAAAAAATGATTTTTTGTTAATTGAAAAGTAAACTTGTGAATTAAATCTCAATTATTCTATATTTGAGAACTGAATTTCTTTATTAATTAGTCTTTGAATAAGACCAACTCCAATGGTAAATCTTTTAACAAGTATGTTGGTAATATTCTAATTACAAAAAGTACAAAAATTGAAACTAAAAACTTATGTAAAATTTATCTTTCCAATGGTAAAGTTTTTAATAAGTTACAAAACACTACATTTTAAATAATCAGAAAATTTGTTTCATTTTTTCTTTTTTTCCTCCACTCAATCATAAATGGACACATGTATTTAAGAAACTATTTCAAAAATTCTTAGCAAGAACTATTTCTTAGCTTATTACATATTTTTGATTTATTTTTTCTCTTTTTAATTCTTAAAAATTTGCTAAAAAACTTGCATTGGAGTTGCTCTAAGGGTGCTTTGGATATACTCAGCCCAATTGTTGATACATCAGAGTAAAAACAGTAAAACCATCCAATACATTAGCTTTAAAGAAGCCCATGGGGCATTCAAAACTCAACTTTTCAATCAACCAAGACAAATAAGTATTTTAGTCTATATCACAATTCACAACTAATTTAGAGAGAAGAAAACAAAAACTTGTAATAGGTGAAATATACATTTTATTATAAATCAACTAAAAATACTTTTGTCATTTTCATTTTCACATGTTAAGAACTTGAAGAACCATCGAACAAATTAAACCCCGCCTAAAACCCCCGTCGCCAAATCGCAAAATTACAACTAGCGACCGCTTAATAATATTCAGAATTAAAAGCCTAATAAAAATTAAATTTACCCACTCATTATTTATTTCCCCTCTCTCACTTTTTTACTTCAATGTTTAATACGCCTCAAAGCTAGATACGCCAATACTCTGTACCCAACAAACATCAAGAACAAAACGCCAACGCTCGTCCATAGACCAATGTCTCCAATCACTTCCTCCTCCACAAACCTGCATCCAGTTGTTGTCGCCGCACCCTTCGAGTCGCATCCAAACATTCGCAATATCTCTTCACTACTTCCGTACTGGATCGCCACTAGAAGACGGTAACAATAAAACGTCGTTGAAACGTATTTCATCCAAACCATCCCGAGTGGGACTTTGTTGACGTAGTAACCACCGGTTAAGACAAACGCTAGCATTGTCACGGTCACGATTGTAGACGCTTTCTTAGCGTCCATGATCGCTGCACCAAGGGCAAGTCCCAGTCCCTGTGAAGCTAAAACGTATAGTAAGAGCACGGAGAGGGTGAGGAGGAACGGGACAGCTCCGGGGCGTAGACCGACCATCCAGTAAGTTAATGTCAAGAACGCTGCCGGAAGAACGAGCTCCATGGATAGCGATCCGAGCACATGTGCCATGAAGTATGAAGAGAGTGTGTACATACCAGACGCGCGTTCTCGAGTGAAAATGGCGCGTTCTTGCGGAAACGTGAAGACCGCGTTAAATGATGGAAGTACACCCCAAAAGATGGATATGAAGAAGAGTAGACCAAGTCGGTCCTGTAACGATAACAACATTGTTATTATAGGAATAACACCATGGTTAAATAAATAATGTTTGCCTAATTTTTTTTGGTTAAATATGTGATTAATAATGGTTTGATAACTTACATGTAAGTCTCGGTAATCAGAGTGCCACCACATGAGGCCACAGAGAACAGAAGCCGCAACGACTTGGAAAACACGAAGTGCGTCGAAAGATTCGTGACGCCGTTCTTTCAAAAGTCTGTGGAGGAGAATGCAGAGTTGGCTAAACCATGTCGTGATACCAGCAATTAGTCCACCCGCGTTTACTCGCGTTTTCACAAAACGTGAGTTCTCTAGAGGAGGATGTGATGCTTCGATGCAAGCTTTGACTTGTGGGGCTAGCAATGTGTCATAAGCCGTGGCCAGCGTTTGTCTCACGTTTGGCCTTTCCCGTTCCGTTACACCGTCGCTCTGACAAACTCCTGCAGTAGTATTAAAAGATCAATCAGTACTAAAGACTTGTGACACTAGCATTTTACAATGACTAGTCGGACAAAAATACAAAAATATCCTAGCGGTTTAGTATTAATTAATCTACCAATCTAATTATAATTATATAGTACTAAATGAAAAAGAACCACTGAAGTAATCATCCAAATAGGCGAAAGTTAATTGGCTAATTAATTAGATGACTATCCTAATTACAAAAAGAAAAAGACAATTCAAAGTGGGTTTGAACCGAACAGAGGTGAGATCGAATCAACCAATCGTGTTCTTCGAACCGACCAAACAAATATATTTAAACAGGTTTTGACACTATGTTGGACCCATTATTTTATTAATCTAACAAAAGCAAACATCTTTAAATTTAATAAAATCGACTAAACTAATAAGTAATGGAGATCTGATTTGCAGTAAAGCTGACCAATCAAGGTGGAGAGG